AAAGTACTGTACTGCATATCTAGATATGATCCACACACATGCTAGTCTATGTGTGGCTAGGTTCAAGACAAGCAACCACCGATGCGCCGACACGTAAAGGAGTAGCAGTATAGACCTAGCTGGCGGACATGTCACCAACCGTACGTGGTGTCCATCAGATTTGCAACAACACGGCGACCAGTAAATTATTCAACGCTCGTGTCTCTCGATCTGTTGCATGCCATAATTAACTTTGTTTAGGGTGCCATCGTTGTTCATGAACGAAGTCCCTCTCTTTCTCAAAGGGAACTTTTCTCTGATCAATCGATCAGCAGGCTGCAAAAGAAGATCAAGGGACCACCAAAAACAATGTATATGGATCATCGGGCCGGGTATGATGGGCCGATCAATGCAAGATGCCATCATGCATCTTATAATCCTCTAGCTAGCCACCGTACACTTGCTAATGAAATAGTGCAGTGTACGTGCAACTGTGTTACATATAGAGAGAGCCAAATCATGCGCATGATGTCCTGTGGTCATCATCCATCGCCTATTAGCAACAACCGCCGGATGGAGCAATATAATGGTAGTACATTTTTTTGTTGCGTAATCCCAATCATATGTGTATGGTGTACGTGGTGGTCACACTTGCTTTTATATAGTTTATTGTTGCATGATGCAAACTACTAATTCAGTCCACACAGCTGATGACCATGTATATTATTTGCTCGCTCGATCCAGTAACCAGTGGTGCACGTGCGAGGTGGTCGGCTGGCGACCCTAGCCTCCTCTGGGCTGTGGCTAGTAAAAGCGAGAGCATGCACCTGTTGCTGCTTGAGGAAGGAAGGCCAGCGCCAGGGCGACGTGGCAGTGCCCCGCATTCGACGAGATTGTGTTTAACAAATCAGTGGTCGTTAACGATTTGATGATTACATGGGCTTTAGTTTGCTTGCATTGCTATATATATATATGGGTCTGTCATCGCTGTATCTTGTTTTTGTTGGGTCCACGTGGGAAACATATCCTTTTGGATCTTTGTTACGTTGTACCCATGATTGAGGTATTTTTAATTGCTAGCGAAAGGATACGCTCGTAAGCTGAGCTCATTTTAGCTGGTATCGATCCTTTCATTATTACTCCATATGCGTAGAGTACGTATATGGCTAGTAAGCATAATATATGTTGTTGTTTTTTATATTAATATATGTTGGGGTTTTGTTGTTACTACTAATTATTACTCCATCCGTTATAAACTATAAGTTATTCTAACTTTTCTAAGTATATAGCTTTTGTTACGCACCTAGTTTATTGTTAGTAACTATTGTACGTAGCTTCTACACTTTATCTAGAAAACACTACTACTCCACTCATTTACTTTGTTTTTTGCACATACTTATTTGTTGACTGCTGGAATATAGACCTGACGGCTGATGCAATCTTATCATCAACTCAAGTTTTATAGACGTGCATGTAGGGCACGTTTGGTAGGGCTCCACGAGCAGCTCCGTGTGTGCGGCTACCAAACGCCCCACGGTGCTCTGCTCCATGGCAGAAGCCCTCGAAATGCCACTGAGACAAGTGGGGAAGCGACAGAGAGGGAGCCAAAAATAGTAGCTTCACTCGTCTCCCTCTCGATCTTGTGGTCCCAGCGTGGCTCTTTCTCTGATTTGCCCTAATGCGGGAGAGGTTGGCATGGCATGTGGCAATGAGGCTAGCGTGGTGCAAGGGGACGGCAGCGTCGATAGTGGAGGGGAGGGAAGGGGCTGAGGCAGGGCGAAGGCGAAGGCGGTGTGTGCAGCGACGGGTGGCCGGCGGTGGTGCCGTGACGGGTGGGTTGGGCATGCGGTGGGAAGAAGAAGGCGTGCGGGCAAGAGGGGTGTCCACCTGGTGGAGAAGAACATGTGTGCGGTGAAGATAGTAAGTAGAGAAAATGAAAAAAAAAGGAAGAAAGGAAAAGGAGAAAAAAACAGAAGGGTGTTATAGACATTCTACCTTTTTCAACGATCAAGAGAAAAATTGTTTTATCAAACATTTTTCTCAACGGCCTTGCAGTGACAGTAAAGCTAGAGCCATAAATTAAAAGTCGTTTCATCATAGAAGTTATAACGGGTCTGTAGTCAGTTTCAACGGAGTGGGTGAAGCACAGTGTGACACGTGGAACACCTGCTTCAGAGTCATCAAGAACGACGACCCTCCTCCACTAGCAGCTACGTTAGCCTAGCCTAGGCCTTGCACTGATCCTGGTCCCAGTGAGAAAAGTTAGCATACTCGCTCGGTCACGTCGCAGTTCGTCCTTCAATCACAACACAAGTGCGGCAGCTGTGATCTCCTCCCTCTACGATGATCGAGCCCATGATTTCGTGCCTCTTTTTCCCTCAGGTACTACTAGTACTAGATCATATCGCCGCTAATCACACGCCCGGCCGGCAATGATGCCCATGTGAACTTTGTTGCTACATTGTGACGCGCGTTACTGCTTTGAGCATTTGGGTCGGTGGTTGTTGTTCAACCCAAACTTTTGCTGCGGTCAGGTCAAACTCTACTTTTATATAGCCTAGCCGCACAAGGGGATTAGTGGTGGCCATCCGGTCCCGGACGAGTCCAAAAGAAAGCGGGCCGGGGATGCACTAGATCGGGGCCGGGGCAAATCTGTTGACCGATCGAAGAGCGAGCCCGGATAGGCCGGTGAGTGACCACGCACGCACGCAATGGCGCGCGCGGCGCCGCAAAAACGCCACGATCTCTCGCCTTCTCGGCACCCCGTGCGGTGCGCACTACTTTCGGTCACGCCTGCCTGAGCATTGACTAATCACGACGCACACATGCATGTTCACGTCGTACGGCGGCATCTTCACGGGCGAGCTAGCCGGCCGGCCGGCTTTACTTCACCGACCGATCGGCAGATTAGCTTCGTAATGATGGGTACTCAGGTTTGTTAAGATGGCCTAGCTAGCCCTGCCCTGCCCTGCCATCACTCGGTGGATATCGATATCGCGCTTTATTTCCATGGCGGTTGACGAGTACTACGCGTACTAGCTAGCTAGCTTTTGACCGGAGCTGGAGCCGAGCGGCTGCCCGCGCGCGCTTTGCGTGGTGGACGAACCCACCGGCCGCCCCGGCCGGCGCGCGGGCCGGGCCGCGCCGCACGCAGCCACGCACACGCACGTCGCCGACGGCCGCGGCTTTACGCGGCCTAGCTAGCGCGGCAGCACGCATGCAGGCCACTGTGTGAAGCAATGCTGCGCCATGCATATACATGGGCGCACGCACGCACGCGTTGCTTTTGATCGATGATCCCCACACGTATACACTGTTTGCAGCGGCGCGGGCGTGCGCGCGGCACGTCGTCACTGGTGCGGTGCTGTCTGCGCGGCGTGATTTGATCGATGCATGCATGGTTTTCTTCTTGCGACGAGCTCCTCCGCCTACTAGCTAGAGTAGTAGTAGTACTGAACAGGTACATGTACAGTGACGACGCGGTTCCTGCTTCGCGACATGCATGTTCATGTCTGCTACCCTACCCCCGCCACCGCCAGGCGGTAGCACGGTAGCTGCCCGCGTAGGTAGCTGTTTATTGTGGAATGGGGTTATGGGGGTAAACTTTTCAATGGCCATTTGAGCTTCAAAATGTTTGGACGCTATCCGTGTCAGGACTCGTGATAATGAAGGTTTCCACGGAATCATGGCCAAAATGGCCGAACCAGCGGTTAGTTGGTTGGTTGGGGGGGGGGGGTTGTAATAAAATCAATGCAGACTATCCCTATGGAGCAACTATGAGCGTTTACATAGATTCACAACAAATGTACATGCACATGCATCTAATGTATGAGTGCAATTAGTTCTCATGCAAACAACAAAACAGGTCATGAAAGCTTACATAGTAGTTGGCTCGAATAGCAAGTGGATGTAGTCAGAAGTAGGAAAGAGAATGTGAGACATGATTAAGAATATATAAGTGGTGAAGCTATATACGTTGTGGCTTTGCGGGCGCAGATGCACCAAAAAGAAAATGAAAAACCAATACCAGGATCAAAATTTCACCCGGCCTGTTTGCAGCTCAAATCTTCGTACCTACAAGGCAATCACACACCCTGTAATTTTCTCTAACTCCGTCACAGGTAAAAAGTAATACCATATAATAATGATTTTTTTGTAGATAAATACAAAAAACTATTGTATACTTTGGTTCTTATAATTTAACTTATAGCCAAGTACTTAGCTCTATTATGGAGCTTACTATGAGAGTTGTAGTTTTTTATTTTTCAACTATTACTCTAAATTTATATAACAGTTATAGGTATTTGATGCATGTTCATGAGCACGTGTCCTGAATCTGTGTTCTGTGATAGATGTTTGTGTTGTTCCATGAAAATATCTCTACTGGACATTTTTCCCGGCTGGAGGAGTTATGCAAAGAAGCCCAATCCTATAATACGTTGTCACAGCCAGCCCAGTAATCTGGCGGCCCAGCCCACTTACAGCCTAGCAGGCGAACGATCACGGCATCACGCACGCCGCCGCACTCCGCTGGTCAGCAGTCAGCACGCCGCCTCGCCGGGAGTCGGGACTATTCTCTGGTGAGCAGGTGGTCATGTACTCAGGTCATCCATCCTGATCCTCCCTCGTCCTCGTCCTGCTCCCCTCTCCTTGACCGGCCGGCGCGCAGAGTGGAGATCGACGGACTTTGAATTCCCTCTTCTCTTCTTTCCTGGCTTGCTTGGACGCTCCATTCACCATTTCTTCGAGTTCGTCACGGATTTGATTCCTGTTTGGAGGTGGTAATATCGTGTAGCTCAATTGTCCCCTTGCGCCGCCGCGCCAAGCTCCCCACCGGTCCTGCCTGCGCAATCCATTTTGTTCGTACTACCTTGTAGTCATTGGGCTCCTCGGAGGTGGAGATCTGGGCTGCCGTTTCCAGGTAAGCACCCTGATTTGCTTACTTTTTCTCCGCTATAAATCCTGGGTAATCTTCCTGATTTCACTGGGATTTCGCAGGACCCTGGGGCGCGTCCGCTGCGATGGGTCGAAGCGCATGGGCGGTTCGGTTGGCTTCCCTTCTCGCGTTTGGTTTGGTGCTCGTCTCCGTCGAGGCTAGCATCGGGGATGTTGATCCGCGCTACAGGTGAGCTGAATCTCTGTGTGTACTTAATGAGTTATGCACCAATTTTTTTCTGTTGCCTAAGGCATGGAGCAAATTCCTGCTTGATCTAGGTTCTTGTGGGAGGACTAGACTAGGATTTCCGAGTTCATTGTCCCACTGCTGTTGATTGTTAATCACTTAATCCTGGTAGCTAGTAGGTACTGTAAATTTTGGACATGACACAGCATCGATGGTATGTTTATACCATGTAAGATAAAGATCTGCTACCGTTTGAATGTGTTGATGGTTACTCCCGTGCTAGCTAGTTTGCTACCCCCTTCGTCCTGAAAAGACTGCAATTCAAGGACTAGGCACGGAAAACAAAGATGGATGTAAAATTACAAAAATACCCTTTGAATTTGTGGATGATAAGTTTCTGCTTTTTTTTTTAATTGGTCACCGGTGGTTTCTGGATTGCTCCATGCATGGACACGTGGACAAATGGCTTAGGATGAAACTTCTTTTTGTTACAAGTGGGTCCTATATATACCCGTCAATTGCAGTCTTTTTGGGACAAATTTTGAACTCCAGGGTTGCGGTCTTTTCGGGACGGAGGGATATATCAAACTGAAATAGGGCTCCTCCAAAATAGATCATATACACACAGCTGAATCTGCAGTAAATGGTCATTTGATTAAGCAACACTTTGCTTTCTATGCCAAGTGGAACGTATATCAGTGACTTACTGTCTTGTGAGAAGAGATGTGAAGCAGTAAGGGATGATCTTTACTAGAACAGCTTGATTGCGTGGTATTGTAAATTTGTAACAACAATTTGCTTGTAGGATCCTCCTAGCAAACATTACATCATCAACTTGGGAAGAAGAAGCTTGTTCTTAATTATTTCTTATTTGGACTTGATTGCATATTATGAATTAGACTTGCTTATGTACCTAGAAAAGACAAAGCGACTTACAATTTGGGACGGCTATTATGTGAGAATGCAATTAGATTTGAATTTATTGAATCGGACCCTATGAGTTGTATATTGTGTTGGTGACTTCACTAGGCTGTGTATGGGCTTGTTTAGTTAGAGGCCTGAGCATTGTGCTTGAGAAAAAGTGCTGCCTAAAGGAAGCCAGAACCTTCGATGAGTTTTGCTAGGCCAGGCTGTACCATTTTTGGTTGGTACTTGAGCCTGAGATTGAATTAACTGTTACTGTACCTATGTGATGGTACAAAACTAAAATATTGCTAGCTCAAATTTTTGTTAGCTTAGATGGATAGGACTGGTACATACGATTTTCAAATATAGATACACCGTAATTTTAGAACATTTCACCCTTCATAGAGCATTATGTCTGTGTATCCACTTTTCTGTGTTGAACTAGGGGGAAGACATATACAAAGTGAAGTGAGATATGTGATATCATCATTGAGATAGGTGAATCAATAGCAGTTAACAATACCCTGAATGTGAGTAACGGGTGTGAGAACAACCAAACATGGTAAACAACCACCTGGGAATCAGGGATGCTACAGGCCAAACACATTGTCCTCAGAGTTCAATCCAAACAGACCCTACATGCGTGATGATGCTTGATGCCTCATCAGCATGACTTCAAAATTCTAACTGCGTCAGCCTTTTAAGGAAACTACTGTCCACTCCATTCTAGTGTTTTTTTTAATTCCAGCATAGCACTTTCCAGAGTACTGCTGTTTCAGAGTTAGAAGTGAATAATAACATGCTTTGTGGCAGTTTTTTTTTTGTTATATAGACTCGCTCAGTCCGTTTTCTAAGGAATATGTGAGTATAGTAGAAAAAGTCTACTATATAAGGCGCATGCGGCATCTCAAGAGTCATTAAGCGCAGGAATTAATGTTGTTGAAGCCAAGAGTTATTTGCATGGCGCCATACACCCAGTCCTGTAGACAAAGAAGTCTTCAAACTTCTGGAGGCTAACTACTTATTAAGCGCGGCGTGGCTAATTCGGCGCAGCAGCTGTCATGAGTAAATCATCCTATGCACGAGCGCAATGTTCCTCATGAGCGTCTTGATATCTGTATTTTAGGTTTCACGCCTTGGAAATCGGACATGAGGGAGTATCTAGTATTTCATAGCTAAATTGTAATTTTCATACGTATTCATTTCTCATGCTTTGGGCATATGTTCTGCTCAAGGTCCAAAAGACAACTTATGCATTCTGTTCCTAGTTTTTTCGGATGAATTTCACTAGATTCGTGTTCGAGAAAATAATTTAACTAGATTTGTTATGTAAATTTGTAAAGAACAGATCTGTTCTATCTGAAGCTAATCCCAATGCCCAATGGTATCATTATGTTCTCTTTTCTTATCTTAATTTATAATGTCGAAGGCATATATTATTTGATTTCATAAAAAGAAGTAGATCTATTTCTAAAAGGTAGGTAAACAACAGATAAAAGCAACGTACTGCAAAAGCATTGAGTAGGGGTTGTAGAGGCTAGTTGCCTGAAGGGAGTATTTGTGGCACGCTTGGTTTCCTGCTCTGTTGAGCCACAGGGTTTCCTTTTTTTGTAATGCTAGTGTTATGGGTGTTGGGCCCAGGACAGCCCAGCCTGGGCTGGCGTGAACAGTACCCGCGGTACTGTAGCACGGCAGCCGTGGCCTATAGTGCCCTTGCTAAGGAAGGAATAAGGATTAAAGAGATTAGATTAGATCAATTAGAGGGATTTGATCAGTTAGAGATAGGATTAGATTTGGGTCAATTAGAGATAGGATTGGATATGATTTGTTATGATTTGATTGGGCCTTCCTTAGGTGGCCAGGAGTCCTCTCTCTATAGAAAGAGAGGTGATGTACTAAGAAGTGGGGCAATGAAGAAAGAACAAACAATCCAATTCCCTCAAATACTCTAGTCTCCCTCCACGCCGACTTTGCCTGGCCATCTTCCTGTCAATGGTTATCCCCCAACCCCAGATGATCTAAGGATCATAACATATGTTGTTGGGGTAGGCATATTGTAAGATATGCCTGAAGGTATTATAATCCCTTTTCCTGTTGTGGTTATATTCCATGTTTGCAGTATTTATTTCCTGTAGGCTCCTTTCATTTTGCATATGCTACTACCAATATCACTCTTGAAATTTGAAAGTGATTTTAGTAACATTTCACATTATTTAATTTCATGAAACACTAGCTGAATACATTTATATTTTCTTGGCTTCCCGTTTGCCATAAGTAAGATATGCACTGAAAGCCACATTATTTGTCCATCCTGTTCGATGTCATGCTGAGCCCTTTGCTTTATGAATTACTTCAACTTACTACTATTAAGAGATTATGAAAATCTTTATTCTTCTGATCAACCTTCAGAACTTGCGTGAAGGAGTGTCAAACTACAGGGATTATTGGGGAGAACGTCATCAGCCATTGTCAGTCCAAAGAGAACGATACTTCTGTTGGAGGCTCTTGGTATAACCAGGAGCAAATTTACATCCAGTGGAAACACCTGAACTGTAGGACAGACTGTCGCTACTTTTGCATGATGCAGAGAGAAGGGGAACGACAGTCACTTGGTCTGAGCCCCGTTAAATATCATGGAAAGTGGCCATTCTTACGTGTTTCTGTGTTCCAGGTATGCCTAGTTCTGACGAGATCCTGAGTGTGAAACCACTATTTCTATCATTAGTTCTCGGCGATGTCTCAACTAAATCTGACATGGTCTATCAGGAACCCCTTTCAGCGGCACTATCTGCTGTCAACCTACTGATACACTTCACTGGCTGGCTTTCATTTTTCCTTCTAGTGAATTACAAATTGCCTCTTAGACCCCAAACCAAGAGAACTTACTATGAATATACTAGCTTGTGGCATATCTATGCAATCTTATCAATGAATGCATGGTTCTGGAGCACTATTTTCCATACTCGGTATGAAATTGTTCAGAGCCTTAAATATATTCTGCAATTTGGAGATATTTCTGTGATCTGTGATATCTAATTCATCAGTCTTATTCTGTAGAGACATTGACTTGACTGAGAAATTGGACTATTCTTCAGCTGTGGCCCTGCTTGGCTACTCGTTAATCCTTTCATTGCTGAGGGCTTTCAATGTCAAGGATGAGGCTACCAGGGTGATGTTTGCAGCCCCTATTTTGGCATTCGTTACGACGCACATCTTGTATCTCAACTTCTATGAGCTCGACTATGGTAAAATATCTTTTCACCTGTTGCTAAACATTTGCCATCACTACACAAAAGCAATCTGACTTGTATATCAATTACTTAACTTTTAACAGATTTAGCAGTCTGCTGCAATCTCGTTTTACCATGTATTTTTGTATTAGAACAACCATATATGCGTTCTTTGTCTAGCTATATATCTGTTACCAAAAGCCATCACTGTGTTATCATTAGTGATTTAGGTATGCTACTCATATGTTTATCTGACGATTCTTTTATCAGGATGGAACATGAAAGTTTGTGTGGTGATGGCTGTGGTTCAACTTCTGACCTGGGCAGTTTGGGCTGGTGTAAGCCGGCATCCATCACGATTGAAGCTCTGGACAGTTGTTTTTGGAGGAGCACTGGCCATGCTTCTTGAACTCTACGACTTCCCTCCATACATGGGTTATGCCGACGCCCATTCGCTGTGGCATGCAAGCACCATTCCACTCACCTATCTCTGTTGGAGCTTCATCAAGGACGATGCCATATTCCGCACGTCAACACTCATCAAGAAGGCAAAGTAATTAAGCAAAAGGCTGCATTGTTAACATAGGGTCTTAGAGGATCAGATTCCATGTGGTTTACACGAGGAACATTTTGGGGGCACACGTGTTATCATCGGACATCATGAAACCTCAGTACATTTGCGCCCCTTGATGCTCCTGTCACGATTTTGGTCCACAGACTAGCCATATTCTTTAGGGCGCATGTTCTGCCATTACGATCTCGATCTGTTTTTTTACTGACCTGAACGTGTATCCTGTGATTAAGTCTGTCATCTTGTCATTTTAGTACTGGTGGGGTTTGCGAGATTTTGTCATCGCCGATTCAGTTTTGTGAAATCAGACAGAACAATGAACATCAACGGTATGTTTCCTCTTGAGTGTGGACCTTCGTAAATTCCTGAAGCCCCCTTTATTCGGGCATTGTGAGTTCCAACGTTACGAAGATTATTATATTTATTATTTACACGTGCTACTGTGCTAGGCCCCTTTTATTTACAAGATAGGGAGCCTGAATACCCTGCTATGCCAATATCTGCCCTGTTCGTTTCGTCGAAAAACCAGACTGGAAAGTACTGTTTGCTGATTTATTGTGAGAAAAAAATATTATACCCAGAAGTGCCTGCCAAGCTCTTTGCAGCTTGGAAATCTGGAAGGTGGCTAGTGATTTATGTTACCCGAAACATCTAGGGGATTTGGGCTGTTTCTTGTTTCCTTTTTTCTACTAGTAAAATCTAGAATTGCTTTTGCCGACTCTTCCAAAAATATATATATATGTTTTGATCCGCTACTGTTCACGCTGGTACCACGAAGAAACGTGGTGCTTTTGACCCGCTACTGTTGCAGCGGTGCGCGTGCGGCACGTCACTGTGCCGTGTCTGCGCGACGAGTTATTGGTGATTGGTGAACAGGTGCGGCGTTACAGTGAGAGTGCTCGCTGCGCCTGCGCGACATGTTCACGTGTGCCCAGACAGTAGCACGGTAGCTGCTCGCGTGGCCTGGTGCTTCTAGTTGGCACGCAACACGTGGGCGTCCATGGGAAAAAAATTGGGTGCACCCCGGGCACACCGAGCTGCTCGTGCTCTCCCCAGCCAGATACACGCCACGTGCACAGGCCTTGCATCGTACGGCATCGCGAAATAACGCTCCGACGGCGGCTAAAACAGAAACGCAACTCGGCTCGTCTACCTTATCCGGCTCAGCTGGAATACAAAATGTAGCGATTGATGTGCCGGTAACCCTAGACCGTGCGGCGGTTGCACGCCATCGCCGTCAAGACGCCCCAATTGATCGTGCCTTGATCCCTAGACCAGTGCGGCGGTTCCACGTCGCCACCGTCGTTGCCGATTCCATGGACTTGGACAATGGTTCCCCGGCCAAGAACGACAGGAACATCCTGAATGCTCTGCTGTGCTGAAACAATGACACCCATATCAATCAATCAAGTATAATCTGCCCATTTCAGATTCAGCTTACCTGAACACCCATATCCTCAGCCGGTAGAGGCTCAGGCGACGGCAAGAGCGCCGGAATAGGCGAAGGCGATGGCGACGACGGATCTGCGCACGCAGAAGGCGCCGGTCAGGTCGCAGGCGGAAGGCAAGCACGCTCTAGGAACGAAGGACTCAGCCGTGTACGGGCGGGCAACGACGGATGGTGAGGTCGCTTGCAGCGCTGGCCGCGAGTACGGGCGACGCCGGCATCTGCGGGAGAGCGCCCCCTAAGCTGGCCGCACCACAAGGGAGAGCACCCCTGTGCTGGCCGCGCCGTCGAGGAGCTCTGCCCTTGTGCTGGCCACGCCGCCGGGGAGCGTGCCCATGGGCTGGCCGCGCCGCCCCAGGATTGGGAATTGGGATGGGAACGAACAAGCTGAGCCGAAGAGGTTCCATGAGCCGAGCCGTCATGTTGTTTGGCTGCCGTCGGAGGGTTATTTCGCGTTGCCGTACGATGAAGGAGCTGTGCACGTGGCGTGTATCTGGCTGGGGAGAGCACGAGCAGCTCGGTGTGCCCGGGGTGCACCCAATTTTTTTCCCGTCCATGACCCCAGGCGGCGGAAAAAAATTGCATGGGCGATGGGTGTAGTGTGCTGCTCGTGCGACCCCAGCTGGATGGTTGCCGCGTGGACTCGTCTTCAATCCGACGGTAGCTGGAATCTGCTGGGCCCTATGCTTCCCAATCGGCTCCAATCGGTAGACGGCTCGGCTCCACCTCGACTGAGCCCTCGTCAAAGTCATGTTGAACACGAGACGACGCCCCAACAGATCGATGCCGATGCCTTGAGCCCTAGGACCAGTTGTACGCTGCCGCCACCGCTTCCATGGATGCACCAGTCGCCTCCATGGAAAACGTTGGAGGCCAAGAAGACGGAATCACAACGGCTGACCTGATGACATCTTCTTCTCTCATGGAGGATTCACATGCACTAGAAATCGATGCTGTTGGTAATGGTCGTCGAGAAGACGAACAAACACAGGTTGGTTATCTGTTTAGATCGTTGTGCCTTTTCTTTTCTTTTTTCTTTTGAACAAATGCTTTTTCTTCTATGTTGTTCGGTTTCTGACATATAGTGCGCATATTTCACATAACACCACGGTTACCATGGGAGTAGAGACCATCGGCACCATGTCACATACGTCTAGATCAGTGGAGAATGAAGTACCTGATCAGGTAAAAAATATAAGTAACAAATTTGACAGAATACATGATTATTTGTTTTATTATAGTACACCTTTAATTGAAAATTGATATATACAGGCGGTGGTTGATAAAGCTAGGAAAAATTTGATCACTCCTGAAGTTGGAATGATTTTTCAATTCGAGGAACATGCTTATAAGATGTACAACACCTATGCCGGCAAGTTTGGGTTCAATATTAGAAAGAGTAAGACAAAGCACCGCCAAGATGGTAGTATATGTCAGAAATATATAGTTTGTAGTAGCTAAGGACATCGAGAAAATGAGTTATCACAAAAAGACATTACAAGGATGGATTGTGATGCTCGTGTTCAATTTAGTATCAGCAAAGAGGGGATTTGGAGAGTGCAAAAGGTCGTACTAGACCACAATCATTATCTTGCTAGTCCAAATAAGGCACACAAGCTGAGGTCCCAATGACAGGTTATAGAGATAGATAGGAAATTAATTGGGCAGATACAGGAAGCTAGAATGAAGCCAACCCAAGTTTATGAGTTCATGAATGAGTTTTATGGAGGGGAAGAAAACACACCATTTGCTAAGATGGATTACGATAATGAGATTGGTCGTGAGCGCAGACAGTACTTAGAAGCCAATGATGCACGAACATTGTCTGAATATCTGAGAAATAAACAGTTATAGGATCCTACATTTTTTATGCATTTCAGGTAGGCAAGGAAGATGGTCGTATAGCAAATTTTTTCTGGGCAGATGGTCAGTCTATCATGGATTACAAATGCTTTGGTGATGCTGTCTCATTTGACACCAGAAATGTCTTTTGCTCTGATTCTTGGTTGCAACCATCACAAGCAAACAGTAATTTTTGGGTGTGCACTTTTATTTAATGAAACTATTGAATCATTTGTTTGGCTTTTTGAAACATTTCTAACGGCAATGTTAGGAAAGCATCCCAGCACAATTTTTACAGATCAAGATGCAGCTATGGCAGCAACAATTGCTTATGTATTCCCAAATACAAGCCACTGACTCTGTTTGTGGCACATTTGCTTAAATGCTGCTAAACATCTTAAGTCATGTAATTCATGCGTCGGATAACAAGTTTCTACCAGATTTTAAAAAATGTGTGTATGAAGACAGATCAGAGACTGACTTCATAGAGAAATGTCATGAATTGTTGGCTAAATACAACCTTAAGAATAACTCATGGATGGCAAACCTATATGCTTTGAGGGCAAAGTAGGTTGCGGTATACCGTGACTCTTTTACAGCAGACATGAACTCGACCCAAAGAAGTGAAGGTATGAATAATGTCTTCAAGAAAAGATTTCGTAGGAAACTCGGTCTTTTGAAACTCCTTGTAGAATGGGAGAAGATTGCAGTTAGTCTCCGTGCAAATGAGTTGGATGCTGATTTTAAGTCACGCTGAAAGAACCCAGTTACATACATTCCAAATCTACCTATGCTCAATACTGCAGCTGAATCATATACAAGGAGAATGTATTCAGAGTTTGAGGAAGAATTTAAAAGACAATTTACATTGTCTTGTGAATTGTTGGAAACTGCGGGGACAAACTTGACATTCTTTGTTAAGTATATGCAATCTGATCGTGGAGCAACAGTAGTACTCAACACTGAAGATTCCACCATTACATGCTCTTGCCGGATGTTTGAATCGATAGGTATGTATACTATTACATTTCAATTTATACATTGTAATCTGTAATATAGGTTGATTAAATTGGCAACTATATCTTACAGGTTTATTGTGCAAGCATGCTCTTAGAGTCTTCAATATGAATGGAGTATACACTTTGCCATCGCAATATATACTGCCTAGATGGACAAAATATGCGAAAACTGGATTTTATATTGAAAAACAAGGAACTGAGAAGGGAGATTTGAAAACACAAGCATCACTTATATCTCGACAGGCCACATCTCTTGCATTGAAGTGTTTGCCGTCAAAAGAACTTCTTGATAAATTGCAGAAAGCCATACATAACTTGAACTTGGAAGCAGATACTTATCTGAGATGCGTGAAAAATCCAAGGAGGCTCCTCCAGTTCCAAATGAAAATGTCCGAGAACCATTAAATGGTGTAATATCATTTAAAATTCCTCAGGTAATAAAAGGTCCAAAGAATACACGTTTTAAAAATGCTGTTGAAAAGAAGACAGGAAAGAAGAAGAAGGGTGCTCAGAAGAAAGGTAGTGACCTATCCACTAACTTTTGCTTATGTCTACAATTTTTTGAAGTATTGCATTATCATATATATTTGATTGTAGGCGAAGATCTGAAAAATAATGATGTAGAAACAAGAGATGAACATACTGATCCAAACCAAATAACTGTAAGACATTAACTATTTTCATAAAATTTCCCTTACAAGCAAATAATGCTGATCCAAACCGTGAACACTTTCTTGTGCTATGACTGGATTTTAATGCTAGGCCATCTTCAGCCACTCCTCCTTTCATGCAAGATGGATATGCTAATTCCACAATGCCACACTTCAATTTAATTGCAGATCCTTCTGCAATGGCTGCTCCATACATACCAGGAGGATACACAAGTCTCTTAATGGGAGTTGATCAAGATGCTTCAATGCAAACTGTTGTTAGGAAGTTATATTTTGATGGAGTGCAAAATCATGAATCTATGTAAATTTGCTCTTTTGCTGTTAGAAAGTCTCTTTTGCTCTGAATAGGAGCCTTACTGACTTTGCTCTGAGTTGGAGCCTTACAGACTTTGTTCAGAATAATGCATTTTAGAGAAACAATGAGATTATTAAGATATCCATTCCACTGCTGATTTCAAAACATCCAAATATATTTCAGATAAAAATCACAGTTTACATTATTCTTATGAACCACTATTTTCACAAGTATCAATGAACTCTATACTGAAACAATTTGTTGACAATCTCTAGGTCCTTTCAAAACATCTACATTTATGTACACTTTCAGTCCTCCAAGGAATCCATAGTTCTTGAATAATTTGTCAAATGGGTCTCGATGCAGCACCTACATCCTGTTCTTGCAAATCCATGTTGCTCCAATGTCCCAGTGTATCGAAACTGCATGCAATTTTATAGTCAGTACAGGAAATCAGGAATCAGCAGAGGGGTGCCGGATGGATACAGATACAAGTCTACAGGAATCAGCAGGGGTGCCAGACCTGGCGTCACAGCGGCGGCCGCAGGAGGGGCTCCGCTGCCGGTGCCCCGGGCGACGCCTGCGGGAGTGGCGGCGTACCTGGCGGACAACCAGATCGCGCGCGTTCCTGTGGTTCGCGCACCTGACGACGAACCAGGCGATCCTCGACGCCGCCGAGCTCGCCACTGACCCCGCCACGGGGATGGAGCTGGACCTCGACGAGACGCTGGCCGTCAACTGCGTGCCCTTCCTGCACAAGCTCGGCGGCGGTGGATTTAGAGGCCGCGTCGTGCTCTTCCGTGGCGGTGGAGTTAGGCGGCGCGGGCTGCAGGTACAGCGGCGGCGGAGCCAGGGGAGACGAGGGTCACGAGGGAAAGGGTTGAGCCGAAGTGGAGCCGAGCCGTGTGGGCGATTTGGCTTCAGTTTTTGCGTCGATTCCAGCTGCCGTCGGATTGAAGGCAAGTCCACGCGTCATCCATCCAGCTGGGGGTCACACGATCGCCCATGCAATTTTTTTTCACAGGCGGCAGCCGGCAGGCGCCTCGTCGAGTCGTCGTCATGCAGTTTGTGCGAAATCTTCTTCAAAAATTGAGCTTCGACGTGCATGCATTTGCATACGATTCGATCGTGGGTTCGCCATGGGCATGATGGCCAACGCCGCGTGACGTGATGCTTCGCACTTGCATGGAAAATGGAATCATAGGTTTAGCACGTGTAAATGTGTAAATATAATAATCTTCTCCAAACTATATCAGTGCCGATTGAGGTCCACAATCAAACACAAATCGATCAACAATCAATCTACTACTACTTTCCCCCACTTTTATCTCTTCTAGTCTTATGTTGTCCAGCGCATCCCTCGACTAGATTCATTGATGTTCTCGGTGTCCTAGCTGATTCTAGATAACATCATGGTGGTCCTCTCTGATGGTTCTTTTCAGGAGGTCTTCACGAGGTTTTTAGATGAATAATGGTGTTAAATATGTGTGGCCATCATGCTGGCCGGTCTTGATGAGTTTGAGATTTTCTGCGATGTGTGCTAGACCGTGTTCGGCTTCGAACGTACTAGCTCTTGCTAGTGCGTGACCTTAATTAGCGTCAATGGAAACCTTAAAGTACATACTCGTTTTGTGCCTTCAACACCACTTCAATCCAGGAGTAGGGTGGTAATTTTAACGAGCTGTTTGGTTCCTCGTATAGTAACGCAAACGTAAACAATTTCGTTCGCCAGCTAGTTCAAATTCATTCCCGCCGGTAACGTTCGCAGGTCAATTTCATTTACGTTTGCGTTTCCATTGGCACACCCAAACAGCTCGTAAATGGTTTTAATATTTCAGAGAATAAAATATCTCGTTATAAAGTCCGGTGAAAGAAAATCAGATTACAACGATTTCAGAAAAATAAGATAGAGTCTTTTTTTCTTTCCTCAAAAGACGGATAAGAGTTTTTTTTTAAAAAAAGAGACGGATAGGAAATCCACTCGGAAACAAACTGTGCAAAGAAGCCCAAGCGCACAATTCATTCTCACAGACAACACCGTTTCCCCAGCGGCCCAGCCCATACACCCGAGAAGGTGAGCACGCACACGCCTGCGGCCCCGCCGTTCCGCCGAAGCGAAGCACGCCGTCTCGTCCGTGTCTCCGGTGGCCATCCATCCTCCCTTCCCTCGTCGTTCTCTCCTCTCCTAGGCCGGCCGGCGCAGAGTGGACTTTGAATTGGCTCCTTCCTTTGCTGGTAAGGAAAACCATGGCCTGGCTTGCTTGGACCCTCCATTCCTTCCAATTTGTCGTGGATTTGTTGTTGTTTCGAGGGGGATAATAATTCCAGTTCATTTTCCACAAAATCTGGAGGGTCCAACTGAAAGTCTGAAACCCCTTTCCCCACGCGAAGCTCGCCGTCGGTGACGCGCTGTCCGTGTCGTTCGTACTATCGTGTTGCACGACAGCACGAGTTCGCTGATGCTGCGATGGGAATTTGGCTGTTGCTGATTTCTCCAACTCGTTTGGCAGATCACCTTCCTTAATCTCATTGTTTGTTGTTGAATCCACCGTTCGCAGGGTACTACCATGAAGAGGTTGGTGTCGACCGCCCTCGCCACGAGAGGGCTCCTGAGATCTCGTGGACTGCCGAGTACAACTGCTGTAAGGCTCTCAAATCGAGTCCCTGATGGTCTCCATACACATGCATCTTTCTTAGCTTCGAGTGCTAACGCATCGAGGTTGTTCAGCAGAGCCATGGTGATAGTAGTTTTCCTCTTTATCCTCTTACAAAGCACTAGACTACAAGCGCATCTGGTGTCTACAATTTAGGTCCATGCGAGTATGCAACATTGTGGGTGCATCGTTTAATGGAAACATTGAGTTTCAAATGTGTTGCTGAGTAATTTACATGTGTAGTTTTCAGGCTTCCAATGAATTAGTTTTATTCTGGGATTGTGTAATCAAACACTGTAGTATATGTGTATTTTCCAGACTTCCAGTGCTCCTGTTTCATAGCATTGGAGTTAACAGTCACCTTCATATTTTTGGTGTTTGTAGTTTGGACACTACAATGTACCTCTGTAACTATAGAAATGGGTGATTTTCTTTATTGTTACCATTTTTGTTGCCTGTATTGATACACAAGAGCATAATACATCTCATACAATGCTATGGATGCTATACTTCCTAATGCTTTCCATAAGTAATGTGTTATGCCATTTGCAAATGAACTATTGGGAAATGAGGGCAGCTGTCTATTCCCGGCATATATTACATATTATTTTCTCATCACAATTGAGAGTTTGCTCCTTTGTTACTACCATCATTCTCTGTTTGCTACGTTGAGTTCTCTTCGCATGTTATTGTTTAAGAAACTTTTAAACATGTTTGAGTTTTTATGTGCTTTATTTATGTGTGCCAATTTGTTTATTTAGAACTTATATGTGATTAAGAACACCCACAAATTATATAGTTTTACTCAATATGTGACATGAGCCATGAGTTCATATGAGGTTGGTCTTGTTGACCATCTAGGAAACAACACATTACTGCACATGATGTATTAACTGTTTGGTTAGTGTTTATATTTTGCCCCTCCGTAGTTTGTGTTTCTGTTTTAATTTTAGTGAATCCTTGTCTGCATGTTAACCGGAAGATCAGGTTATGTCCCGACCAGCTTTCCAGCAGTTTATGAATTATTCGTCACCACAAGGTGGTGATCCTAATGCAAACACGAACTCAACTGCAGCACGAATAGCTGCTGATCCTGATACACATCAAGATTTCGAGCCAAAAATCAGAAGTTCAGACATGTCATTGCATGACATTGTTGCTCAGGTATTTACACGCACAGATGAGATTCAAGAATATTTGTGTTAAACATCAAAGCACCTAACTTGTGATAAAACTAGGCATAAGCTGAGGCTTATTGATGTATCTTTTTAGCTGCCATTTCTTCATCGTAATAGCAATTTTTTTGGGCAGGATATCAAGGAGAACCCAGTCTTGATCTACATGAAGGGTTTTCCTGAGTCTCCAATGTGTGGCTTCAGCGCACTGGCAGTTAAGGTCCTCCAGCAATATGGTAGGTTGGCTCTAATTAGTAGATTACAGACTGATTTGTTTCGAATGCAGGTGATAATCAATAGCACTTTCTAAACTTTAAGCTCTATGTCATTGATTTCAGGCGTCCCTATCTGTGGCAGAGACATTCTTGGAGATCTCAAGCTCAAAGAGAGTGTTAAAGCCCACACGTAAGTGTCTTCGTATACCTCCTGGATGATGTATTTTTAGATAATAAGCAGCAATATGCTTGTCTCTCAGAATGGGCAATGAACCATGTTAAGGTAGATTATTGAAATGTTGCATGATGTTATAAGGCAATGGTAACGATCTTCAAGTTTGCCTTCAAGTGAGATGAACCAGCTTTAACCAAACAAGAAAGAAAGAAAAACAATAGAGAAAAGAATGAAAATGAGTTGTGATTATCTGGTTGACATTTCGTTTTGAGCCTCTTAGATATGATTTGGAACATCTTCATGCCAAGCAGTGTTAATAGTAACAGTCCGTGTCTTGTATTAGTACATCATTATGCCCTGTTACTTGTTATATTCATCATCCATATGTTCCTTTTCATTTAATTGACTTGCTGTGCACTGATATGCTTGAAACTAAGAAATGGATTGCCAGACACTGTTCAGTTGGGTCACATGCTCGAATCAGAAAATTGTTCCCACGTTTGTAGAAATGCAGGACTGGGCTCGCTGTGTTCCAGCCCCCTGGTTTGGGGCACAGAAATACATGGAAGCATACTTAAAAAAGTGTAAAAATTTTATAGTCAAAAGGATTTTTAGCATGATGTAACTTGTCCATCCCAGGTGCTAGTCTAATCCTGGCTCTGCTCCTGGTTCACCCTATCAATCTCACTGTTAATTTTATTTTGCTGGTGCAGTAACTGGCCTACATTTCCACAAATATTTATCAAAGGAGAGTTTGTTGGGGGATCTGACATCATATTAAGCATGCACCAGGCAAGTTTCACCTTTTGATTCATTTCATTAGCATATTAGCGTATTGTCTTTACTAGTGGCTGATTTTTTTCGTCATAATTTTCTTCAGAAGGGTGAACTTAAGGATCTTCTTGGGGATATTGCGCAAAGAGATGAACAAAAAGCAGATGCTCATGATTTATGAAGCAATCCACAGTAGGTTCTTTTACTGTGCTATCTACTTAGCCACAAAATGTTACTTCTATCTCAGAGTCTTTAGGCGACATTGTGAACTGTCCTACGCGTTGGATATGGATGATCGGGTGTGTTCCCAGAATCCCAGGCTATAGGTTGTTTGATCTGGCATTCTGGCAGAAGCAAAATCAGGATTGGATGCCCGTAAGCCGGGTTCTCTGTCAAATGAATAAGTGCCACTTTTAGCAATGCCGTTCTTTGGTGCCTTGTATATGCACTATGGAACTTGAGTTCCAGGATTCATAGGTTGCGTTGCATTTAATCGAACTGAATTTGTAATAACAGATAAGGCTGTAAAATGGTTATAAACACTACTGGTATTCAAATGGGTGGTGTCCAACATTTCCCTTCTTGCTAGAACTGAGAGAGAGAGAGGGGAATACAATATAGCAAATCTGTTTGCGAAAACACGTTGATTCTGCCACTGTGGCCTTTGGTTCGGTTGTAGGACATTTATTGCGCACGGGAGGCGAGATCCTCCGTGAGTGTGGAGCGTCTGGGTTGCGCGTGTCCTATGTACCTTCTTCTCAAAAAAAAAAAAAAAAGAACTGCAAGCGGAAGACCGTGTTCAACAACCGTGACTTAAAATCTAAGATCTATTTGTCCTTTGGTTAGCGCTACAGGCAAAGAGTTTAATATCTATTTTTATCTTCTCCAACAACAAGATCCAGAAGATGATCCTTTCTGCAAATGGGTCTTCAAGAGAGATGATACTCAGATTTGGGTTATGTCTCTCCTGACACTTAAAATGTTTTTTTTTATATAGATACTCTGTTGGAGGCTATATGTATTATATTAGAGACTCATTTTGGGTTTGAGTTCCGCAATGAGTCTCCTATCGAAGACAACCTAATATTTTGTATAGTGAGTAGGGAATTTGCAAGCGTAATAATTTGTAGACCATGGGAGTAGCCGTGATGAGTAGTGCAATATTCCCTCCATTCCAAACATCCTACGTATGGAGTTATATGGAATAATATCAATATTTCATATCTAACTCGATAGATTAAGAAAATATGAGCCCCCCTGCGCCACGACAAGTTAGAGTCATTCTCGCTCTCCATCTTTTAGCGAAAATCCAGAATAGAAAATGTTGATATTTGTATTTTTTTATATTTTAAAAAACGACAGGAGCTCTACCTCTCAATTAAGAAAAGTAAGAAACAAAGGCTTATGTACAGGACATGACCCGCCTAGGCGGGCAAAGAAATAGGGCACAAAGGCCCCGACTAGACATGCACAAAGATCACAGAAAGTAGTTGTATTTTTTTATATCAAAATCTCTATTCCTATCAATTAAAAAGGATATAAATAGTATCATGAGTTGCTCTTAGAATATATAGCAATGACCTGAGTAGTTCATCCCTAAGCATAAGCACACCAAAATGAACCTGAACAATCTAGAGTAACCAACACTATTGTGGTACGGATGCAAATGATTAATTTTGTAATTACACTACAGTACACATACAAACAAAACAGAGTGTTCCTATAGTGAGAGAATCATAATAAAGCAAAATTTAGTCTATTGCCACTTTCTTTGGATAAAACCTATGTTGCTAAATTTTGAATTATGTACTGATCATCTTAAATATGCTAGATAGTTTGAAAAATATATACATGTAAGAATTATTGTGTGCTTGCATATGACAGCTGCAGAGAATAAATATGGATGATTGGACATTACCTGAATGTTAGCTGCTGGAGAGAGAAGTGGTCCTTTGGTTGCATGTCGTAGGCGGCGTAAGAGGCGAACCTTGCACTAATTGGGGAGCAGCATGGCAGCATCACCAATCCTCTCCGGCGACGCGTACTCCCTCCCTGGCCTCGACCTTTGCACGCACCAGCATTGTGTCCCAGGAGCATGCACTGGTGAGGAAATTCAGGTTGTTGCACTATCGACCCAAAATCGAGCGTTTGAAGGAGAAGACACGAATGGATAGAAGAAAAAAATTAGGAAGTGAAGAGTTCCTGATAACCAAATTAAACATACCTAAGTTACAACAGTTAACAAACAATTTGATAATCTGTTGGGAAAGTGTATATCCATCACCAATGGCCATGAACACTTTTGAAATCCATAGACATAGTATTTATCATCATATAATTGCCATAATCCCTTTGGTTATAGTTTTCTCCACCATTGTCATAATCATCATGCATCCTCGTCTTCATACCTACAGTCTATAATGTTACCCTATAAACAATAATATAGCTTTAGTTAGAAATATCAAAAAAGTTGCCACTAAAAAAAGAACTAATATGACCTCATTTTTATTGCTTATTATTAGTTTTGAAAAGAAATAATGTATCCCAAATATTGAAAAGCAATAGCAGGATACAAAGTTTTCTATGGTATTTGTGTTAGCTCCCCAGTTAAATGATTGGTATCTAGTGAGTGGATTGAGAGATGTGCATCTAGAAGCTGGCTGTGATCTATGCGAGTTAGATTCACCATGTAAATCAGCCATAAGATGATTCCCAAGGTAGTGATAAACTTTGCAAGTAGCACATCATACATTTTCACACCTGATGGAGATGATGAAATAAAGCTAGATAGCAGCAGCAGTAGTATAGAAAAAAACATTCAATAATCATCAATCATATTCTAAGAAATCCTTAAGAGACCATGGAAATAAAAGCCTGCACCTCTACTACTTTCAGACTACTGCACACACATGAAACAAATTGAACTCACATGAATATTCAGACTTTATTATCTAAAAAATGAATATTTAGACTGCAGACCATATGAATTTTCAGAAATTATAGATACAAAATAAAAACTATCTGAATAATTTGTCAGTGATATGCAATCTGCAAGTAATAAAAGAATAACAACATAACCTAAGATTAGAATCTTTTACCCATCAGATTAGCTAATTACATATCCATCTTGATACAGAAACTACTGTACGTAGAGAGAGAGAGAGAGGGTGGGGACAGAGAGATACACAGATATATGGAGATGGATTACTCGAGTTGATTTATTAAGAACACAAGAAGCCATGGGCTCAACTTGGGGTCGTGGGAGTGGGACTACTGGACAATCAGAGGAGGAAGACGCTGCGGACACCACACACCAGGATCGGAGACGGAGATGAGCCGAGGACAAGACACCGTAGTGGATCTACGTGTCGGGTAGCCAAGCCCCACCATCGCCACCAAGGAGCCTGAGTCGCTGGGATGCGTCGCCGGGCGCCATGTGATGCGTCGTCAGTCGCCGGCTACGGGCAGATGCACCGGCCGGTGTCGATGCTGCTGTCGGTGCTGGATGTCAGGTGCTGCCGGGGCTGAGACGCGCGGGGGAAGGAAGGACTGCGCTGCCGGCGTGCGCCGGCCGTGCCCTGGAAAAATATTAGCCTGTAAGTTTACACTGTCTAGCGGATATGGACATGTCACATGTGCTTTGCACCAGCTACTTGTAAATTGGCCCTCATCCAACCCAAAAAGGAAATCGTTAGCACAAAGTAATGAGATAAGCTCTACTACATTGTTTTAGGAATCTATATTTGGACCTATGCATATGTACAGAATAGAGACCCCTTCCATCAGAAGAAAAAAATTATTGCGACTGCGTCTCTACTATAAAGGAACTTTGCAAATTATAATCCTCTAAGCTAATTCAATCACTGCTATAAAGGATGCACAACAAAGTAGCGCATCAAAATAATAACCAACCCCTGTTGCATAGTTAATGTTTCCAACCATTATTATTTTTAAATTGTATGTCCTCAAAGACCTATCAGGTCATCCACAAGACAATTAGACTTGACACTGGCTTTCAGCAAATCTTATATCAGTGCAAGCCTGATCAGATTAACAAGTTTTTTTCAAATATACTTCACTTCTCAACCAAAATGCCAACCCATCATAGCAAAAGCATGTAAAAGTTCCATCATCAAATATTTTAGTACTTGGTTACATTACCTAATGGCCAAGTTCTGGTTTTGGAATAAGTTAGGCATGTAGTTCTGAAAAGGTACATTATAATGTTTACGATAAGGGCAATAAATAAAGCTAATAAAGCGCACACGCATTTCTGGAGAGGGGTAACAAGGTAAACATCAAACAGATCCTTAGAAAAACCATTTCTAGTTAATGTTCTTTCCCACATTCCAGGCAGTGAAGCAAAGCTTGTGTGTTTTGCAGGCTGGTAGATAGTATGCTCATAAATTTCATCAGATAGAACCTGCAAAAATTTAAAAAATGACACTTTATGATGTTCAGTGAAATTTAACAGGTTGATTAAAAGTTCAATATAAACCAAAGAAATTACCAGAAGCCTAGGATGCTTCTTGACTACATCAGCTATTTTCTTAAGCAAGTACTTTGGATATACTGACCCTGATGGATTAGATGGAGAGCAGAGAATTAAGACCCTTGATTTCTCATTGCTCTTCTCGGGGCCTTAACAAGAAATGAAACATACTTTTCTGTCCATAACCGAGCATTTATGTCTAAAACTTATCTGTTGTATTTGTATTCTCGACTCTGTCTCGAAAAAAAGAAGCATAGTTGGATGATGAGCTCAAGGGCATTATGTATCAGTATACCACTATCATACTACAATTGTACTGAAATGTTCTTACTATTTGAGCCATCATCCGGGTGTGGATCACTTAGCAGCAAGCTAATACTTGTCAAAACAATAGCAATATTGATCACTGCCATAATCCTGAATTACCTTGAGGCCCCGTTCATTTGGTGCGAAACTTGATGGCCTGGTTGGTTTTGTGAGAGAGAAACTCTTCAGAAGCAATTTGGTTGATGAACAGTGTTATTTGAGGAGGATCAGTGGCTGGTCTGGTCATCATCAGAACGTGCAGCTCTGCTGTGAGCCCTATGCAATAATATCATCATCAATGACAAAGACTGCTGCGATTACAAATAAGAGTTTATGAAATATCTAGACTAGATATGAATTTATGAGATTTCTAAGCTACCATTGAGCATGTGGGCAATTCCTATCGATTCCTTTGGGGGTAAATTTAGAATATCAAGGCAAATGCGCCCTCCATTGTCAATATTGGGATGATAAATGAGAGTAACAAAAGTCACATTGGGTGGTTTAGAAGGATACCTGTGTCTATGAAAAAGTATGAATATCAGAAAAGACATTATAGGGTGATAAAGATGAGCTTCTCTTCTCATTTTTCAGTGAGGCATAGAGGTTTGGTTTTGATATCTATAAAAAATGCACCTTTCAGGAATTTGTATCTTCAGAATGAAAACTCCCATATCAT